ATATATATATATATATATATATATATATATATATATATATATATATATATATGTCGTCTGACTAAAAACAGTTCCTTATTCTCCCTTAAAGCGTGTTACGTTTCGAACATTTAAATGCCTGACTTTGTCGCGTGTAACGCATTACACGCTGCGAATTAATCGTATCACGTTAACGACGTAGTCACAAAGATCAAGGAGGTTTAATTGGTCATGGTTATGACTATGTGCGAATACACAAATAACGTTAGAGTGTTAACATCGCTCGAAACCGCTTGCTCTTTTCTGGGGTCAATGATGTCTGTCAGATTGCTCGACAAGTGTCGATGTGAGAGTCGAGAGATTGCTCGGACGATGCCGTCGAGAACAAAAGCTATCGTGTGTTATGGGGTGTTCTTCAAAACGTTCTAGAAAACGAAGAAAAATAAATAACTTCGCGCGCATTATCGTCCCAGACTTTTAAACGGGTGGTAAGGCCCATAGAGTCGCCGTCTTGTCAGCGGAAGTACTGAGGAACGAGAACTCGGTCGGATGCCAACGTCCCGAGATTACTTTGTCCTGATGTTGGGCAACCACGACGCTAGGCAAAGGCATTGTAAGATCACCTGAAACACATATTTCGTTGTTTTCAGTTATGCAAAAATCTTCTCACGACAAGTGTTACATAAAAAGCTTGCTACTTATTATACAAATAAATTAAGATGGTCATAATAAAAATAATATTATAATAATGTAACTATATAATAATAATTCAAATAATTTCCATAAACAAATTTATAATAAATTTTTACTATTTATAATAAATAGTAAAAAATTATCATATAACGAATGTTTCATATAAATAATTTGTATAAGTTTTTCCTATTTATTATATTTATTATTATATTTTATTTTATTATTTAATTTGATATTATTTCATTATACTTGTTATATAAAATTTATATTTTTTATTATTATATAAAAAATATATTATAATAATTATTATAATGTTACATTACGTTATTATAATACATTATTGTTATGACAGTCTTAATTCATTAACAGTTCTGACAAAAAGACTAGACCCTAACGCGAGACATACCTTGCAAGTCCGTGAGTACCAATTTGTTGTCGTATCCCGCTGTCAACAAGTAGTACGCCGACGGTGAGAATCGTATGCTCCTGATGTCCGCCGCGTGAGGTTTGAAACATTGAACCGTTCTACCACCGCGAATGTCGAAGAGAACGCAGCTACTGTCCTCGTGGCCGGATACCAAGAGCCGGCCAGACGGATCCACGCAAAGCGCGGCCACGGGGCTTCCGACCTGCAGTGGAATCAGATGCTGATCAGGCAAACAATACTGCTTTCGCTCCGGAAACGACTTACGAAAACGTCCGATAAAAATCCGACCGATGGGGAGAGAAGTGACGACGGATACTTTGCGAGCGGGAAAGATGGCGGTGCGGTTTAAAACTGCGACGATCGGACATTTATCGGACGCACAGAACTAAACATAAGACTAAAACTGAACATAAAAATGTTGACGATGCATGCCGGACCCTAAATTATGGCGCGAATATCTCCTCTATTGATTTCAACTGCGTGATTTGGAATGTTCATTACATTGAGAAAAATATATTTAAAAATTAATTTGTGGAATATAAGTTTATTTCTAAGAAATAAACTTTTGTTCCACATAAGTAAATTTTCAATTATTTTTTTCTTAGTGTATAGCTTTTGAATTTACGCGAGTGATGACACGTGTGGGTAGAGAATTGTAAGCGGGCAAGGTGCATTGTCCCGAAAAAAATCACAATTCGGCAACTAGGACAATTTGCTCCAGAAATTTGACATTGCTGAAGTAATAGTTTTTCCATAAAATAATTGTATACTTTAGGAGATCATCTTGTATTGACTCTCCTCGGCAAATAGTCCCGCTTTTTAAATTTCGATACATCTTTTTCGGGACAATGCCTGCCCACTGCAATCTATAGTGAACGGAGAACGAAATAATATTCTTTTTATTAATTAATACACTATAATATATTCAGTGACAGACGAATTTGTAAAGAAAAAAGAAGTTGCCATTCTCTCTCGTATTCTCCCTTTCGAAAATGACTTCTAAAACGAGCTTATTCCGTTCCCTATCACCCAAGGGCCATGACCATCAGCGAAAAAGACGCTGCCGAACTTTCACAAACGTATCGACGGAGAACCCAACTAACCCTGCTGCCAGGTACCGTCGCAGGTGTAACCATGTTGACACAGCCCCTCGTTCTCAGGTCCCAGAATCGGACTGTTTTATCCTGCGATCCGCTGACGAACATCGCTCCGCCCCAGTTGTAGAGCGTCAGCACGTGGCCGCTGTGGCCGCTCAAGGCCTGGAAAGGTGTACCGGTCGCGCAGTCGGTAACGTATATCTTGCAATCGCCAGCACCGCCGCTTATCAGAAGACTCGACTTGTTCGACGTGTCCTCGAGGAAGCACAGGTCGCGCACCGTACCGTCGTGCATGGTCAGCTCGACTTCTTGCCCTGGAAATTAAATGTGGGAAAAACGCACAGATGATCCCGCTGCAATGCGCGCTAATGAAGAACGTGCTCGTTCTACTCGAATGGCATGAATTTGAACAGGGACAGTGAGTTATTTCACGACGTAGCAAATTCGTGAGCCATTAATAATTTTCATTCCTTAATCAGTCCGAGAAATCGATGAGAACTCAGGAGATGGAAAATTTAATCATTTCATAAATTTGAAGTACAACATAGTAGTTGGAGCTAAAATGAAGCAAGGAATCTATGGTCTGTATAATGAGAAAGAATATTTGAAAATTTACTTGTGAGACACAAAGTTTACTTCTATGAAAAATCTTACGTAAAATGAACCTTACACTAAGAAAAATTATTCAAAAATTTATTTGTGGAATAAAAAGTTTATTTCTTTGTGAAATATTTGAACTAAAGTTATATTTTGAATTAAAGTTTATATACCACAGAGAGAGAGAGAGAGAGAGAGAGAGAGAGAGAGAGAGAGAGAGAGAGAGAGAGAGAGACAAAGTTATATTTTGAAATAAAGTTTAAATTTCACAAAAATAAACTTATATCCTTGAAAAATTAATTTTCAAATATTTTTTCTCAGCGTAGAAATCACGACGATTTGTCCTCAATTTTAAAACTCACGTTCATACTTTTAAAATTTCGAGATCACAAAAGCAAACTTAATTCAGTTTTGAAGTAGATCTTTCATCCATGCGAATCAGACGTTGATTAGGCAATATTCTAATCGACTAGAGTCAATTTGATTTTGCGCAACAGTGAAAGATATCAGATTCATTCTTCAATTTCGAGTAAACACATTCAGGGCAAAGCATTCACTCTACACGAGTGAAGAATCACTTGAATCCAAAAGTGGATCGGCTGTCACTTCACTTTTCGAGTGAAATCTCACTCGAAAGAAGAAGAGGCCTGAATTAGAACGTGCATAGAGTCGTTTGGCTGGTGATTCCATGAAGTAATGTTATGAACATCTTCAAAAGGAGCTCCTTACAAGGAGCAAGGCAATACCTTCGAGGTTCGAAGTGTCGGCGTTGAAGCGCATCAGTTTCACGGTCTTGTCGTTGCTCCCGGTGGCCATCAGCCTGCCGTCCGGGGTCCACGCGAGGCAATATATGGAGCCCTTGTGATGCTTCGTTCTTTTGAAGAGAACGGTTGGTTGATAGGTCTGATGATCCTCCCTGAAGAAAAAAAAAGAAGGGACCGTCAAGATACTGCCGTTGCTTCTCGACCGTTAGCATCGTACGGTGCTGCTGCTGCCGCGTGATAAATATTTCCACGTAACGGGCGATAAATCACTCGTCCGGGTGTAATCGCGGAATTATATTTCACCGGAGTCCCCGTGAATCGCCCGCGTGAGCTGAAGGGGAGGAGAAGAAGAATGCTCTCGCGGGTTCGCAGGCGTCTCACTTTCATCGAGCCGTTTTCTTCCTCGTTCCCAGTCCTCGTCACGTGCTCGTCTCTAATTGAAGCCGATATCGCTGCGCGTTATTGTGCACGTCGGCGTTTCGGTCGTGGAAACGAGGGAGAGGCTCGATGATTTTAAAGAGACTGCCGCTTTCACGGCGCCGGTTTTTATGCAGATTTTAATTAAGCGCGGCTCTTTCCCATGGCGACGACTGACGACGACGCATGTGAGCTTGTAGTCCCCCTTTCTCTCTCCCTATCTCTGCGCGCCGACCGATCAAGATGTTCCACTCGTAAAATATCCCTCATTATCAATTATTATTTGCCTTCTCGTATCCATTCGGCTCGAAACGTGATGCGCGAAATGAACGTCACTTCTGGCCGCCGCAATTTCCCGCCGAGCACCGGACGGGAACGACTTTCGAAAGTGACGATACGATTATTCGCTCTGAGAAGGTTTCTCCGGACAATAACGACGATAATTGGAATAGGTGGCCGTACATAGAACGATAAGAGCGATGGAATAAGTAAATATAGTGCGCGATATCACATTCGAGAGAAGGATCACTGTGTGTACGTAATGCAAGGGACTCTCGCATTGAGAATCTCTGCAAGAGAATTGTGTAATTGGTAAAAAGGAACCCACCTTGCGTGATTTGCATAAAAAGAGAAAAGATTAGTTGAATTAACCTGATACAACCAAACGCGTTTCAGTTAAAGGAAACTGAATTTCTGGTTCTTAAGAATTAAATTTGGCTCTCATATAAAAAACAGAAATTCTGTTCTTTTTCATCAAAACGTGTTGTGTAATTGTTTAACCAATCTTTTTTGTATGTCTAAAAAAATTTCATTTTATGAATAAATAAAAATCTTCGAAGATCCATTCTTTCAAACTGTATTTTCCCTATAAGAATCAGAAATTATCAGAAATTAACGCGTCTAGTCGTGTTATTGCGACGTTAATTCAACCAATCTTTTTTGTAACGCGTCTAAAAAAATATATTGTGAACACGTAAAAATTCTCAAAGATTCATTCCTTTAAACCGTATTTTTTTCATAAGAATCAGGAATTCTTTTTCCTTCAACGAAAATGCATGTAATTGTGACGTTAATTCAACCAATATTCCTGCAGCCCTGCGGTATAAAATTTTATATCGCGAACACTGGAAAAAAATTCCCAGAGGTTCACTTTGCCAAACGTAATTTTTCTTGAAGAGTAAGCCAATTATAAGTATAGAGAAATTGAAAGATTACGTTTCACGGCAAATTTACCAGATGAGTAAGCTGCCGTCATTGGCTTACTTTCATGGCACATTCCGCGCGTCTCTTGTTTGAAAAAAAAAAGTACAAGGGAAAAAAAATAAACATCGCAGGATGACTGTCGGGATTCGGGACGAATGCTGTGAATGTCACCGTGTAGAAATCTGTGTCCTTGTTCACTAGATCGCTTATTTACAGCGTAACGAGACGAGGCTGTAATTTTGGTCGCTTTGAAAGCCGACGCGCGTGAAAGCTGCGCGAAAATAAAAGCGAAAGAAAAATGTGTCAATAAGAAACAGAAATTCTCACTCATCCTTTGAATTGATAGATCAGAAAAGCACACACACACACACACACACTCTCGCTTATCAATAAAATGTGACACGTGCGTGCCTGTTCTGTTAGTAACTAATTTACGGGAGACGCTAACTATTACGTGACTGTCATTATTAGCTCCCGGACATCGCTTCTCAGCGTTTTTTCATCTCCTTTTGATCGCTGCAACAAGAAAAGATCCGCTCTAACTCGAATAATCCGTAATCTATGTACTTCCAATCTCACTCGCTAGGCCAACATCTCTCTTACGATCTCTGCAGTATTACCTGCCGACAGCTTCGATCCGGAATAAAAACGTAATTGCGAATTTGATTTGCGACTCCGCACAATACACAGTAATACGTAAATATCAGCGTGTCACGGTGTTCGCGCGTAAATTCGCTGCGTGAAGTTTAAAACGGGAGAGAACCGATCGAGAACCGCCGAACTCTGATTGAATAATCCGAGAAGATCTCTTAATACAGCCGAGTTCCCATAAGCTGTCCATCACCGGCGTTTGACTCTCGCTGCTATCGCAACACGGATGTCGCGACACGAGGAACGATTTCCTGGTGCCTTGTAAGATTACATAATTACGAGCGCGCGTAAATTAGCGTTACAACGACGTCAAATGGCGTAATCACACCTTTAACAACGGCCATTAAGCGAATTTTATGAGCTGTTTATTCGCGGAGCTCATTGTAGAGACGTGACTTTGTACACAGCGGGAAAACACATGCGACATTACTCGAGCTATGCAAACTTAATTTCAGGGATGTATATGGCGCACAAACTGCTCTAATTCTTTCAAGAAAAATGTTATTATGTTCTTTTGTTGAAGATTAGTTTTTCGAGCTTTATGAGTGTGTTAGGAGCGTTCGTACTTGTTGTTCATCCCGCGTGCCGAGTGATGGCGCTTATGTTCATGCGAGAACACGTGCGGGCAGCGCCACTGTGTGTGCATGTATGTGTATTTGGTTGACTACGAGATGTGTTTCGTCCTTCTTCGTTCTTTTTGTTCTCATTATTAACCGTTGTGTTCTATTCATTATTTAGTTCTTCCACTCAGTTATACTTAGACTATCCGTATAAATAAATACTTTAACAGAGCAAACCGAGTTCCTGTTCTACAATCCGCCTCAACCAGACGAAGACTCTGTGATAACATTAAGATCTTTCATTCTCTTGCGCGTAAAATAAGTTCAAGATTCGGTCTGATAGAACAAAATTGACACGACATATTGTCGATCTCTTAGATATTAAATATCTAAATTTACTTTTCATCTAAAGCAGATTTGCATCATGCAATTAAATTCATTTGCTGGTAGTTCAAAATTACCGTTTCGCCGGAATAGCCAATGGCGAGAGCCAAGTGTCGTGAGCATTAAAGCTTCGTATAAGTACACAGAAAAATCGAAAAGGATAGAACCGAGTCTCAGAGTTACGCAAATTGCACCGCACGAAACTTGCAGTCGGGTTAATTTTAGTTGAAAAAACATCTATATCATACATTCTCTTATTTAAATAAAATAAACAATTGCCTCCACGAAAAGCTAGAGCTCAAGAAAATTTTAGAAAAAGTATATTTTCTTATTTGAAAAATATTTTATATTACACTGAGAGAAAAGAGTAGATCGAGAAAATCTCAGTCACTCGCTTAATATTATATCTATTGAACAAATTACGTGTCAGCGCAATAATAAGTTGCGTTGATATAATCAGAAATCGAAATTGTTTCGTCCAACCAAACTTTTTTTCTCCATATACATAAGATTGTTGATCAAACTTAATTTTTACGCAATTTGACCCGACTGCAAGTTTCGTGCGGTGCAATTTGCGTAACTCTGAGACTCGGTTCTATCCTTTCCGATTTTTCTGTGTACTTATACGAAGCTTTAATGCTCACGACACTTGGCTCTCGCCATTGGCTATTCCGGCGAAACGGTAATTTTGAAAGTGCGCGGTGTAGAATTACGTAATACGCGCGGCTAAGTATGTGTGTGTGTCGCACCTCACGTAGTGTTCACTGCTAATTCGAGGGGCGAATTTTCCACGAAAACAACGAGTAATGTGCACTTTCTCGACGCCGGCAAGAATCGTTTTACGAGTCGAAGGTAACAACTCGAGGCGGGCACGAGGTCATTCACGGACGGCAAAATGGAAATCGCTGTGCATTATTGACGTTAGACGCGGATTGCGGCTCGTTGACTCTATTTTTTACCGGAACGGGGTATATGGTATATAGCGTCAAATGAGCACTGTCGTAAATTCTCAAGACGGAAATATTCTGTGAGTGAAAGGGGACTGTTTGTAGTCTACCTTGTAATGCAAAACAGTCTCGAACTGTAATGTTACGTGGTTCCATTCCCCCTCGTTCCTTCCCGCCTCTCTATAAAAAGAAGCACAATTTTGCTTCACGCTATTTTTGTGCGGCGTGCGAAAGGAGGCCTGCACATTTTTCTGTTGCTCCTAAATGTTACGGAATTATTTAGTCACACGCGATATATTTCACGTTCACTAATTAGTTTAATATTTTGAACTGAATCCATAAATATTTTATTGCTTCGGCAATAAAATTCCCTCTTTTCGTTCTCGAGACATAATGCGTAAAATTATCGAGTTCTCGGATTTTCTCGAAATTCCCGTGCCTCTCTCTGAATGCACTTGTGAGATTCGGGGAGAAAAACGGGGATATTCGACGAATTCTCCGATCATGAACCGGAAGTTTCACGATTCAAGAGTCACGCTCGAGTCATGGGGGACGTTTTGAATGTTTGCGTGGCCGTTGCGCAGCACGTTCTCGCGTCGTAAACGGAAACGACGTGGTGCAGCACGGAGTAGCAGGCAATGGAAAGAGAACTGTTACCGGCTACTCCCCTGCCCCCGTGTTCGTTGAACATGCGAGGATGCTCCGTTTAGCATGAAGGCCTTCGCCGCTCGTTAACCTAGTACGTTTGCGTAAAATTAGTTTAGCAGATGCAAATTTGCAGAACCAACTGAAATTTGCGAACTGCCTGAGAGCGAGCGGCAGTAAGGTGCATTGTCGATTACAATCGAACCAATTCCGTATACTTTCTCCATACAACACCGAAATAACATTTACTATAATCTATAAAAAATTCGCAATAAAATTTTCTTCAAAGCGACAATAAAAGTATCATTTCTCAAAATCGCAAAAATTAATATTTAACTCAGAAAATTAATATTTAACTCAGAGTTCAAGTTTTGACCTTTGAGTCCTTAATACAAATACGAATGTGAACGTTTCTGTTCTGTGAAATGATGCTGGGACACACCAAAGATTCACTCTTCAATTTAAAATAAAAATCTTCACTTAATGACTCGGCATGAAAGAAATCATTCTACATGAGTGAGAAGTCACTCGAGAGCTCGAATGACTCGGCACTCACTCTACTTTTCGAGTGAAGTTTCTCTCATGGAAATTTAGAGAGTGCAAAAATGTTTTTCTCCTATATAATTACTATGCTATAAGAATTACGCTTGTAATTATTATACAAAATTATTGATCATGTAGCGTATCATTATTGTCACAAACATCAAGCACTTTCTTCTCAATGGTGTTGCAGGTATTTCTTAAATGCCCGTTAGCACATTGGCGGGCGGTGCCCGAAAGATGCCTATCCATCGGCACAAAGTATCTATTACCGATCTGTTCACCAGCCTGTTCACCGCGAACACAAATTCCACGCCCGGAAGCAATACAGAATACGATAATAATCTCGAGAAAACTTTCGGCGCACGCGCCCGCGCTGTCGTATCAATATTATCGTACATGTATTATCGAAGTTAATACATCACGGGATTATACAGGGTGTCCGGTAACTCACAGAGGAGTCGCAGGTAGATTTGGTCAACAAAAAATTCCTCTACCATTTTGCGAATAACCACGTAAAATTGTAAGTTATTAGTCAAAGAAGATTCGTGGATGATCACGCGCCATACGGTAAATGAGCTGTGATGGCGCTGTATGCTTGTATATTATATCAAATTGAACAAAAAAGTCCTCTACCATTTTCCAAGTAACCACATAAATGTTTAGTTATTAATTTAAAAAGATGAATGCATTATCATGCACAAATGTACACCAAACTTCTTTAATTAATAACTAAACATGTACGTGGTCGTTTGGAAAATGGTAAAGGATTTTTTTGTTCAGCTTGACCCAATACAACGTCGCCATCATAACTCATCTACCGTACGGCGCATAATCATTCGCGAATCTTTTTTGATTAATAACTTAGAATCTTACGTGGTTGTTCGCAAAATGGTAGAGGAATATTTTGTTCAGTTTGACCTAATCTATCTGTGCATCGCAGCTCCTCTGTGAGTTACCGGACAACCTGTGCATGACTCGCAACGTACTGGCAATGACAAGGGATATCGGTTGCGCCGTGGGAGGATGATCATTTGATCGATTACAACGTTTCTGTTCTAATTATCCTGAGAGAGGTGGAGTTATATTGATGTTATCAGCGCATCGAGATAACGTGGATAAGTCCAGACTTATTGAAACAGCGTGACGCGTTCCGCCGCGAGAACCGTGATTTCTCTCGCACCTCGCCGTATTCTATTCGCGGCCGTTATCTCAGCATCCGAAACGTGTCCACCGTGAATAAAAACGACGCCAAGCTCGGCTGGACAGGAGTTATCGTTGCACAACGAGTGGAGTTGCAGAAACTTATCGCGGATTCGCATGAAATTATTTCGTCGACCCACGATTCTCACCACGGTCGTTAATAACGTGCGAATTCCCTTTTCAACTGGTTATAATTTGTCTTTTTATGATTATTAAATTTTTATTTCAAAATCCTTTTTAACAAAATCCTTTTTTTCAGCGTATTTAAAGCAAAATGCTTCAAATGATAACCAGTTTTGGGACAAAATTGGGCAGTCTATTCAGATTTTGTGTCGCATCTGAACAAATTTTAGAAAATTTCTATACGGGATTATATTTTCTTGAATTATCTCTCTCTCTCTCTCTCTCTCTCTCTCTCTCTCTCTCTCTCTCTCTCTTTCTCCGCGAGATCGCAAATACATACTTATTATCCGATTCCTCTGTCCTTCTCTCTCGGCTCAACGACAGGAGCTGCGGTGGTTCCCGTTGCCGAGTCTTTCGATGACCCGTGCTCGTTGGTTTTTGCATAAGACCGTAATAACGGTACCGCGATGTTGCGTGGATTCGAATAACGTAATTCGTCGAAGCGATGCGTCGAACGCTGCCATTATCCGTCGCACGCATGCTACCTACGAGCCGGCCTGCATGCGACATCGAGAGCTCCGATTGCGATATTCGGTTCTGGATGAGGGGAGGCATTACGATCGCGTTACTTCCGCGGCCCGACTGAGTCGCAATTTGCGATTTCTCTCGAGCGTCCGGTGCGAAATGACTTCCACCCGCTATCGTGTCGTTACTTCCACCGCCGATACGCGGAGCGCATTCAGTAGAAAGTCCGATATTGATATCGGCAATTGATTATCAATGGGTGTTTGAGTAACAACTGTATGCAATTGCTCCGCGGAAACCTTTTACCGAGCAGAAACACCGTGAAAAAGCATAAACGCGAAGCGCTTAGGCGATAAATAGAGTGATCTAATCTCAGTGAAAGGCAATTTGAAGTTTTTTTTATACTACGAACAATGCAATCGATTAGTCAACGATACATGATTGGTATCATTTCATCGATTCGATACGTCCAGTCTCGGCTAAATACTTTTCGTGATCTTTACGAGTACGAAATATGAGCGTTTTTGTCAGTTTTTTAAAAAAATTTTAGAAAGAATTTTAAAAAATTTTAGATAGAAGATCCGAGAAAGACTTCCTGTTCTTCCTGTAATCTATATTCTAAGCGGTTTCTGTTGACTTCCTGTAATTCTATATTCTAAGCGGAAATTTTTACCAGAAAAAGGCTCCTCTTCTAATATAGTGGAATGTATTAATGCGAAATCTGCTAAGATATTATTCTAATTCTCTTTTCCTCTTTTCAATCAAGAGTAATGTTTACTTGAAGCAGAATGCTTTCTTATGATACGAAAGACTAATAAAACGCGACTAATATACGCGAATAAAACTTGTAGATAAAAGACAAAATAATTTTAAGGATATTATAAGGCTTAGAATAAATTTTCTTTTTGGTTTTAGAAGAATTTCCCTTGAAGCCATGTACAAAAGTAAAATCCTTTAGAATTTAGACATTTTCGCTAAAGATAAGATTATATTTTTTTGGGTGGAAGATAATAATGTTTGACAGTGTAATGACGCACGAATATTTTTCCGAATTTGTAACATACGCGATGAATTTACCTTACCTACACGTCAAACCTACATGAGAATAAAAAATTTTAACCAATTTCCAATGAAACATGAACGAATAAAAAAATTCCAGTAAATGTTACCAGAATATCAGAATTCTGTTCAAGTTAACCAGAAATCTTGTTAACCCGAACAGAGTTTTAATTTCAACCGGAATTTCTAGTTTGTTCATATTTTATCAGAAATGTGTTTAATCTCTTTTTCCGTATGTATTCTACTTATTAATATTAATCACTGATATTAAACTGATCCCACTTCTGACGACCTAATTGTTTTTTTTATTCTCCTTAAATGTCGCGAGAAATATATTCGGCGTCATTACACTGCGAAATATTATTATCCCACCACAGTTGAAATGTTCGTACTCTATCACTCGCGATCGGCCTTCACTAGGTCGTATTCTCTCTTCAACTTGGTTGTAATTAATCACGCTTGGTACGCGCAACTAAGACGCGGCTGTATCATAATGTCAATCACTAGTGAGAAAGCCTTACGGCATAGCCATGTAAACTCACCTGACATCGTGTAGCTTCGGATAGGCGCATATTCTGAGCGTCTTGGAGTTGGAGCCCACGGCGTAGAGCTTGCCATGGGGGTGGAATTCGGCGCAGCGCACCGCCTGCACGTCCTCGAGGGCGGTGACGGGAACGAATCGCGGCCTGCCGCCGTTGCTGCTGCCGTTGCTGGTGTCGAGTTCCGGTCGCGGCTCCTGCTACAAACGAGACGCTCGTTACTTGATCCGGCATTAACACGCAATTATGATCGCGCAAGTGAGCGAGCGAGCATCGTGCAACTAATAATACGCTCGTCGTAGCGCGGCAGAACGAGCCGATTAAGAGGCAATCTGCGTGATCGCAGCCGTTACGAACGTGCGTGCACATACGTTGAATAGGTTATTTTCGCATTTGGACCTAAAATATTCGGCACATACATTTTGGTTGGCACTATCATGTTTTTTACTTGTGTCAAGTACATATGTGACTGCAAAAACAAAACGCACATAGCGGCAATTAACATTTCTGCTTGTAGTTACCAAACATTTGCTCGATCCCATTTTAACTAAGTTACGATTCGGCGTATCAAATTTTCGCCTTGACGATAAAATCCTTTGTTCAGTGCACCCTTCAAAGTCACGTCTACGTGCACGGAGAGAAAAGTTCGGTTGTATCGACATGAAGTCTGCTCCTTCGTGTCTGCCGCGGGGAATACGGAAACGTCACAGTGAGATGAACGTGACGTAAAAATAATAAGTAAAACAACGAGCGTTTTATTCAACGCTCATACGTTGTATCTTTGCTATCTATCTGTTTATGAATCGCAAGTATGCCGATAATATCGTGAGGGGATGCCATTTACACGCGTTAATTGCAAAAAAAGAGTGTAATCCGAAGAAAACGACCGAGGTGAAATTATAAGAATAATGATATCGGATAGGATTTATTTGCAGCTGCAAACGCTTTGGGGTGCGTAAAGAACGATTGGTTTATATTTCGAAGCATTTGCAGCGTCAAGTGGGTCGTGGCCACCGTGTGCAACCACCTTTTTACTCGGAGGATCGACGAATAAGGTATTAATTATATCAGTCTTCTCGATGGGGCTCTCTATACCGAACGCACGCTTTCCTTCGCTCCTCTCCGCCGCCGTTGGACGTTTCAAATTGATCGATACGCTTTATACGGTGCGCGTGTTTTATGTATCGCACAATTTCACTTTCCCTCCCCGTACGCGGGGAGGGGGGGAGGCGGGAGGATGTGCGCTCTGCGTTTTCTCATGAGACAATTTGTTATACTCCGAAACTCGCCGAGCCAGTTCGCATGTTGCGCGCAGCGAGCCGCAGGAGGAGCGAAAAATTTCGAGGAGCTAGAAAGTCCGAGAACTCAGGATAGGTTTCTAACTGGTCGTTCGCTCGCTCCGTGCCGGCAATTTGTTAATTCCAATGTCCGTGTAAATAATAATCGCCGTGAGAGCTCGTAGATCGAATAAACGTTAGTTTCACCTTCTCCGAGGTTATTATCGCGCCAAGTGGATGCAGAAGATGTCAGTTCTTCGTCGGTTCGTATTGCTCTCCGTCGGAGAAACGGCTGACGCGTAAAACTGACAATGAGCAATACCGACATGACCAGAGCAATTTTGACCCACATCTATCATATTCCCTTCAGTTTTTTATGAGAAAAACGTGATAATATTCATTTTTTCTATATAGACCTTAGTTTGCCCACCAGAGGGTGCAAAAAAAAAATAATAATTGATCTATGACGCTCCAACGAGACACCAAAAAAATGTCCAGTTCTGTCCGAACCCGGGACTTTCGGTACAAGTGGACCAGTATGCTGTCTACTACAGCACGCTCGCCCTCGAACGCGCAGTTACGCGTCGGCGGAAAAAGCTCGCGATGCTTCTTGCCGTGAGAAGCGCCTTTGCTCCTTTTTCATCTTCTTTTCTTCGAAAGCACGAGCCCGGAATCGTTTCGCGATCCGCGTTTGCGCAACGACGCGGCGCGCTGCTTCGCCACGCTTTTACTTTCAGCCTGAGATCGGCGGGCGACGGACTATCTTGATGGATAAATTAGCAAAGCAAATGCGCGCCTCTCCTGCCCGTTGTTCGCTTCTTGACGAGCCGTGCAGCACGAGCGGAATTATGAGCGCTCGCGTGCATTTTCACGCCGGTGTACGCCTAACGGTGCAGAGCTCCCCCTCGACGATCGCGACTGTTGCCGCCGCTCTTGCTTGCCAACTCGAGTGGCTTACGCGTGTACAATTATATCCAATCGTCGAGTTCATGCACGCTTCGCGTGTCAGATCTTCGGATAACGAGAACGAAGCCACAATAACAAAGAATCGAGAGTAGATGGAAAAATGGCTTGCAGTTGCGAATCTCGCTGATATAACTTTGATACGGGACGAAAACGATCGCTTTTATTCAGAAATATTCGTGTCACTTCTTTTCTAAGAAATATCAACCAAGTTAAGATCGTTCTTTGCGTCAATGTCGGGCATTAATCGATTGCCTTGGACAAAATAATCGGCAAAACAATAATGAAAATTAATCAATCGACACATATAAAGTCACAAGTAATTGCATCGACTCAAATTAATTACTGATCAAAATCTGTGATTATACACTAATGATAATGATAATAATTAATTTCATCAATCGATGCAATTATTTATGATTTTATATATAACGATTGATTAATTTTCGTTACTGATTTGCCGATTATTTTTTTTTAGTTGAAGAAAATTTCAATCGACCAATGCTCAACTACACTACTTTGTACTCAATTTTTTAATCCTAATATCCTATTCGTTTTCAAAGTTGTCAAGTACTCTGCTTTAATAATTGCTAGAGTATTTTTATATAAGTACACTTTCAATACTTTCAATACTTTTACTGATACTTATGTATTTTTAATATTCCATTAATATTTGTGGACGAACATATTTCTCTGCAAGATCTACCTGTCACCGAGAGAAGTGATATATAGACGGGAAAGTACAATGCGAAGAAATTGCGTCAGAAACGACGTTCGAAATACCAGCTGTTCTCTAGTCCACTCCAACATGAGTAATCATACCAATAGTCATTACATATGATTCATTTCTTTCGCCTAGAAAACATTCTTTTAACTGTACAATCTCGGTGAGTCGGTGATTCAACAATGAGCGAATGGAGTCATAGGGCGTGAAGCGGAATGCAATGGGAGAAAAAATATAGAAAGATATAGTTCATCTGACTAAAAGTATAGTTGTTTCTGGCTCATATTTTTCGATACTTTTAACATAAAAATGGTAGTAGTATATTGAAAAATGGATTTTGTCGTCAAAATAAAAATTTAGTTAGCGGGATCAACCAAATGTTTGGTAATTAAATAAGTAGTATATATAGTATATAATAAGTAGTATATATAGTATATAACTATAATAAAAAATAATATATGAAAATTTATTTATAGGATATAAAGTTTATTTTTGAAAAACAAAATTTATTTCTGTGAATAAAGTTTACATTCTACAAATAAATTTTTAAGTATAACTTTTTCTGAGTGTAAAAAATTTCACTGCCGCTTGTATGTTTCGTTTGCTCCTTGATATATTATGCTCGACACAAATAAAAAACATGGCAATACCTACCAAATCGTATGCACCAAATATTTTGGTTTCACATATAAAAGTAACATTTTCAGTATAACATGCATATAAAATTGTTATCATCAATATTAATTAATTAGTTAATTTGTAGTAATTATTTCCCTACGTGCTCCTCTAGGTACGAGTGCTGAACACTTCTTTCCCAGTGCAGATTTTCAGTCGCGATCTCGCCAAATCGTTTCCTTTCACTGCGACGCGCTGCGCGAACGCTCTCCCGAGGAAGCGCTCTTATTCTTATACGTCCGATCGTTATACTTTCTCCATAATCCGTTATAGTCCGACTCACCCTTCGGTCCTACTCAGCCGTGCTCCATCGTCGTCTCGTCATTAGCGCGTCGTAAAAAGGGAAACGCGGGATAATCGAGCGAAGCTGCTCTTTCTTCGAGCAGGCGGCGTGGTTTACGAGTGAGAACCAGGCCGCGAGGAGAGAATCGATCGCGCCGATCCCCGCGAGAGATGCCCGATCCCGCGAAAATGCCGCCATCGCCCGAGCGGCGATCGCTTCCGGACGGCTTAACGAACCGGAAACGACTCGGTCGTAAGTCTGTCAGGACGAGCGGACGAAGTGCGCCGGCAGGACAGGTAAGAGAAAGAGAAGAGGCACACGGCCGAAGCCTAGTTTTGCCGATCGGTCAATCAACCCGTCGGCCATCGTTAGATCGGGCTCGGTCTTAATAGCTCGTCAAGCCTTGCGAAAGCGTCTGCTACCAGTGATAGAGGTACAGAAACATCATAGCGCATGAATAAATACTCCCATACGAAAGCGGCACAGAGAGATGACGCAAATGCAGTCTCGAGCATCGCGCGCGCTGTTTCGCGTTCGATCGAAACGACCGTTGTAATATCGAGAATAACGTCGATAAACGAGATCTTCGTCTGTAGGCCGATTCTCTGACTTTACGAGCGACGACGATAACGACGCACTGTCGTTAAAATTTACAGAATCGGTCTACTGCCCCATCAAGGAGTAACGATTTCGACGATATCAGAATTCCCAGCAATATAATAACAATAAAATATTTCCTCCATACATTATGTCAGCGATTTAAAACTCCTGGTCAGAAGCTCCTGGTCAGAAGCGAGAAAATGTATGCTAAATTCTCGCGAAATATATCGAGACAAAAAGATATATCCGCAAAATGACATTTACGATCGATTAAGCACACCTCTAAAATATTTTGTACTCTTGTTTTAACAATCAATAAATAATCGTAAAATTAATATGACAGAACAGTAAGAAAATTCATTTAAAAAAGAAGGTTGCATGTCACGTTAATTTTATGGTTATTTATTGATTGTTAGAGCAAAAAGAAAATGTTCGGAATATTTCAGAGGTGTGCTTAATCGATTGTGTCATTTTATATCTTTTTATCTCGCAAGAATTTTTAGCATGCGTTTCCTCGCTTCTGACGTCATTGAAAAGAGATAGACGATGCGAGTATCCAGAAGCCTTAATATTGTCTAATATAATATCGCCGAGAAAAACAGTAAATATTTATTTGATGTAGATATTAATAACATATATTTGCTTATCTAAATTCTTCTATTTAAATAGAATAAACAA